CTGTAATGCACAAGCCCATGGAGGAGGGCAGGGAGGTGCTCACACCAAGAGCAAGCACTGCAGGTCAGCAGGTGAGGAAAGCACCCTCTGTGCCATCCCAAAGGGACAACTGGGGCAAGCCATTGCTTATGGCTCTGCAGGCCAGGACTACCCATCTCCCACACCATTAGGGGCAATGTACATCCCCATAGGAGGCAGTCTGAGGAGCTGGAGACCAGTTTGGGCCCTGTGGCAGAGGACAGTGGGCACATCTAGAGCCCAGCTTGCAGCTGGAGGGAGAGAAAGTCTCCACCTGCAGCACAATGCATGTGCTGGGATTTTCATCCCAACAAGAGGAGCTCGAGTCACTTTCCTTCAGTCTCCCACATCATTATCTCACAGTACCAGAGGAGAGGAGACTGGAGTACAGAGAGGTTAATTGAGTTGCCCAGTGCCGGGGGGGATGTAGCAGCAGACGTCTTTCAGCCTCACACCGCAGCCTGTGCCTCCCTGTCAGCTGGGGAGGTGGTAAGGGGGGATGGTCACTCGCAGTGCCCCAGGGACCACAGTCCCTCTTCCCTTCCTCCCTGGCTCCAAGGACTCAGCTATGCCAAAATGGGCTGCCATGTCCTGGCAAAGCATCCCAGGGCAGGGACAGCACGTCCTTGCAGATGTGCTCCTGCCAGTGCAGCAGGTACTGTTCCTCAAAATGGGGTTACCTGCAATACCGGTATCACTGTGGTGATATAAGGGCCTCAGCTGGAATAGCAATGTAAAAGCACGCTAAAGTCCAGGTTTCTACCCCCAGGAAGGAGGAGACCTGAGACTCTGCTGCCTTGCCCTCTGCACCCCTTCCACCCAAGTCCCATTTCTAGTAAACTTTTGAAAACCTGGTTTTGTTGAGCTTTCTTGCCGAGTGTAACTGGGATAGGACAGCAGCAAGCACTGGGGTGGCAGAGACCTGCAAGTATTCAGGCAGGGCCCCACAGAAGCATCATCTTAGGGCCAATACATCTTACCCACACATGACTGCACAACCGCTGCAGACAGTACAGTCTGCAAGAAGGGTGTACCGCACACCCTGCCCTCCATGGGGGGCACTGAGTGTCTGGCTCTAGTTTTCCCCCATGGGCTCACCTCCCCTAGCAGCTGGTGGGGTGTCTGCTGGAGGACAAACTGGCTGGAGAGTCTCATATGCAGACAGCTGATGCGAGAGCAGATCTTGTTATTCATGTAATGGAAACCCCAACTGTGCCACCAGGGAACAGACTCATTGTTCACAACCCAGAAAGAACAAATAAACTGTTTTACTGCTTATTATTACTGGCCTGTTTACTGAGGTATAAACTGTGAATGGTTAACAGGAATCTCTGCAGCGAAACATGGTCTGCTTCATTGCCTGGTATCATGGGTGGAAAAGAACTTGGTTTCTTCAGGACAAGGGCAAGGGTATGGCATCTGCCTCTAAACGCCCCTCAACAGTCAGGCTTACATGATTTTCAGCCTTACAGCACCAAGCACAGTCCCTTCACTGCCCAGGCACTGGGAAATGGTTTGGAAACCAATTCCTGAATTTATACTGTTTTGCAGATCCAGTGAAAGACAATTTAGATTTAAGATGTGCCCCTGTCTGCTTCATGGATGCCCAAGAAACCTCCAGTTCCTACCAGCTGTGTTTTCAAAGAGTGCGGGTGGTGTTTTTCCTGTCTCCTACAGTCTGCCCTGGGAGACAACCAGAGCTCCTGCTCCCAACAAAAGCCCAAAGGATTTTTTTTTAGCTAGGCCATGATGTTTTCTCCCCATTTGTGGGAAATTCCATCTCTGTCACAATACCCAGGAGATGCTGATGCTCATGCAGTTCCATCCTTTCCACTTTTGCCTTCCTGTTTAACCCTACAAAACTACAAAAGGAAATAGAAGGGCTGTCCATGGATATTTATGTTTAGCCAAAAATGCAGGAAAAAATAATGGAAAATGTGAGCCAGGAATGAGAGTTTTTTGGTGGGAAGTGACACTACTAGCAGCACCATAGGTTTGTGTCTAGTGAAGACTGTTCTGGTCTTCAAACAGCTGTTTCTGGCTGGAGAGGGAAGGTCTTATCCCATCTTCTGCAAATACTGTTGTTATGCCACTGAACGGCTGAGGGTCTTTGCCACCTCTGCATCATTTCACCTGGGAGGGAGAGAGAAAGCTTGGAGACAGGCAGCAAGCCCTAACCACAGACAAGGACATCAGATGATGGACAATCACGCTAGCGTGTTTTGCAGTCAAAGAGTACCCTGAAACTGCTGCTCAGGTTCCCAGAAACAGGACAGGTGCTTGATGCTGGGCTTTATCCTAGATGCCACGCAGCAATGCAGTCAGAGAGAGACCGTGTCCTCAGTCAGCATCCCCTTCTGTGGGCACTGCTGCTGCACAAACCAGCACGCGAGACAGTTAGGATTCCCCTCAGCAAAATGCTGCAGCATCAAATCTACATCAGAGCGAGTTGTCTAGACTTCATCTGCTCTCAGTGGAGAGGAACAGACACTTCTGGGGCATCACTCCTTTCCTCCTAAGGTAGACACCTAAATAGGTCAGACAAATGGTGCCCTCGATGTGTGTTGGTCTCTCAACTGCCTATAATGTGATGCTGGACAATGGGCTTGGAGGATGACCTCCATGGTCAGTGACCTCCTTCCCTGGTGCTGCCAAATACCACTGGTGGCAGCACCCAAAGGCTCCTTGAAAGTTGGTAGACAGAGTTAGAAGGCAAATGCCTAATATTAAGAGGGTAGTTGGATGCCTCTCCAACACCTCTAAATGCTAACTGTCTTTCCCTTGTGTTTAGTTTGTGCTTGTGCTTTGTTTTGGGCAGGTGAGCTGAGGGACTGACCAAGGACAGCGAGACGTACGGAGGCACATAGAGATGGGGACCAGCATCGCAATGGGCAGCAAAAAGAAAACGAGGAGATGTACTATAAAAAGTGAGAGGAAGGCTTGTCTCTAAGCCAGAGGGTCTCCTCCACACAGGCATCTAACTTCATGATTCCCTCCCTGAGATGCCAGAGACCTGGTGATGTGGGACCAGCCTCAGCCACCCAGGCCTTGGTAGTAGTCCCTGGCCAGTGGCTGCCGAGTACCGTGGGCACCGAGGTCCGCTTTCTCCACGGACGCTTCCCCCCTGTCTCCAAGCCATGAGGAGAAGGGAGAGGCGAGCGAAGCTGCCGAAGAAGCACTAGCCCACGTCTTCCCGGCCCCTATCCCAGTCCCCACTTCCAGCAGACCAGGAACCCCTTCTCTGTGCCGCCCTTCCAGATGGCAGGTCGCCGGTGGGCCGCGACGTCAGCCCTCTGTGTGTGTGTGGCAGCCGTCTCTCTCCTGCACACCGGCGGGGTGCGGGCAGACTGCTGGCTCATTGAGGGGGACAAGGGCTTCGTCTGGTTGGCCATCTGCAGCCAAAACCAGCCTCCCTATGAGTCCATCCCCCAGCAAATCAACAGCACCATTGTGGACTTGCGGCTGAATGACAACAAGATCAAGAGCGTGCAGTACGCCTCGCTCAGCCGCTTCGGCAACCTGACATACCTCAACCTGACGAAGAACGAGATCTCCTACATCGAGGACGGTGCCTTTTCAGGACAGTTCAACCTCCAGGTGCTGCAGCTGGGTTACAACCGACTGAGGAACCTCACCGAGGGCATCCTCCGGGGCCTGGGGAAGCTGGAGTACCTCTATCTCCAGGCCAACCTCATCGAGTCCGTCACCCCCAATGCCTTCTGGGAATGCCCCAACATAGTGAACATTGACCTGTCCATGAACAGGATCCAGAGACTTGACAGCAACACTTTCCGGGGCCTAAACAAGCTCTCTGTCTGTGAACTCTACAGTAACCCCTTCTACTGCTCCTGTGAGCTCCTTGGCTTCCTGCAATGGCTGGAGGCTTTCACCAACATGACACGCACGTATGACCGGATGCAGTGCGACTCCCCACCCGACTACATGGGCTACTACTTGTTAGGCCAAGGCCGGACTGGCTACCGCAATGCTCTGAGCATGCTCTCTTCCCTTTGCACCGGTGGCTCCTACACTGTGATCCCTCGTTTTTTCCCTCCCAGGTACCAGGTGACCACAGTGCCCTCCGAAAGTCCCTGCTCTGAGGAGGAGTGCTCCTCCGGCGATGGCACTACCCCGCAGTTCTCCCTCTTCACGCCCATTGGCGAAACAGAGGTGCGCCCCAACATCCAGGTGAAGCACCTCAACCACAACTCAGCCGTCCTCACCGTGCAGATTCCCTACCCCTTCAGCAAGATGTACATCCTCTCCCAGTTTGAAAACGGCTTCTCCTCCATGATCACCAAGCTCAGGAAGAAGGAGGAGAACATCACCGTGAGCAACCTAGTAGCACAAAGAGATTACACCTACTGTGTAGTCTCTGTCCACCAGTACTCCAAGTACAACCACACCTGTGTCACCATCACACCCACCAGACCCAACCGCAAGGAGCCGGTGCCCACCCCTTCCACTGCCACTCATTATATCATGACAATCCTGGGCTGTCTCTTTGGCATGGTGATTGTCCTGGGTGTTGTGTATTACTGTCTCCGGAAGAGGCGCCAGCAGGAGGAGAAGCACAAAAAGGCTGCTGGCAGCATGAAGAAGACCATCATCGAGCTGAAATATGGGCCAGAAATGGAGACCACCAGCATCACCCAGCTGTCCCAGGGACAGATGTTGGGTGGGGAGACAGTGACCCGCATCCCCTACCTGCCTTCGGCTGGCGAGGTCGAGCAATACAAGCTGATTGACAGCAGCGAGACCCCCAAGACTACCAAGGGCAACTATATGGAGGTGAGGACAGGTGAGCAGCCTGAGAGGCGAGACTGCGAGCTGTCCCTGCCGCCAGACACCCAGAGCTCTGTGGCTGAGATCTCCACCATTGCTAAGGAGGTGGACAAGGTGAACCAGATCATCAATAACTGCATTGATGCCTTGAAATCTGAGTCCACCTCCTTCCAAGGGGTGAAATCGGGGGCAGTCTCCACAGTGGAGCCTCAGCTGGTGCTTTTATCAGAGCAGATCCCCAGCAAGCATGGATTCCTCTCCCCAGTCTACAAGGAAAGCTACAACCACCCTCTCCAGCGACACCACAGCATGGAGGCTGCCCCCAAACGCTCTAGCACCTCTTCCAGCGGCTCCATACGGAGCCCCAGGTCCTACCGCTCCGAGGGATCAGGCCACAAATCAGAAGCCAAATACATTGAGAAGACATCCCCCACCACTGACACCATCCTCACTGTGACACCGGCCGCGGCCATCCTGCGGGCAGAGGCGGAGAAGATCCGTCAGTACAGCGAACACCGGCACTCGTACCCCAGCTCACACCAAGGAGAGCAGCACGACAGCATGGCGGGGCGAAAGCCCTCCATCCTGGAGCCCCTGACCCGTCCTCGCCCCAGAGACCTGGCCTACTCCCAGCTCTCGCCTCAATACCACAACCTGAGCTACACCTCCAGCCCAGAGTACACCTGCAAACCATCGCACAGCATCTGGGAGCGCTTCAAACTCAACCGCAAGCGGCACAAAGACGAGGAGGAGTATATGGCAGCCGGCCATGCCCTACGCAAAAAGGTCCAGTTTGCCAAAGACGAGGATCTTCACGACATCTTAGACTACTGGAAGGGCGTCTCTGCCCAGCAAAAGTCCTGAGTCCTCACACAACTCGTGACTTAACACACTAACTGGACCAAAAGAAATCTGCAGCAGCTATTTTTATTCAGACTATCTTTGAAAGAAAATAAAATAATTAAAAAAAATGAATCAATAAAAATAAAAGAGAGAACAAATTATAAAAATCTATAAATATCCTATATAATATATAAAGTGAGATATTGAAATGTCCTCACATTGGTGAGACATGCACCAAATTTGAACACAAACTTTACAGAACAAACAAACTGTGGAGTGAAAGAAAGAGTTTTGTTTCATTTTGATTTTTTTTAAAAAAAATAAGAAAAAAGAAAAAATTGAATATAAAAAGAAAGTGAAAGAGTGGGCAGAGAGCTGAGGTCTGGCGTTTTCCAATATTGCATTGCATGAGTCCCTATTCCGTGATTTTGTGGATTCTTTGTGAACAGTTTGTGTTCTTCCTTCCTTCCCTTCCAAAATCAACAGCAACAAAAACAGCAACAAAAACCAAAAAGACACCAGAAGGAGATCCATCCTTTGGGCTGTTTTTGCAAACGGAGTCTTCCAGTTTAGACTTTTACCCGGTTGAAGGCCCGTTCACATTTTCACTCACTGAGAGGTTTTACCACACATTGCATTGTAAACCGAAGTCGTTAATTGTACAGAGAAAATTTCTATATTTGCAATGTTTGCTGTATAATGAGAAAGAGAGAGGAGAAAAAAAAAAACAATATTACATCTACTAAAAAAAATATATA